GTGTGTGTGTGTGTGTGTGTGTGTGTGTGTGTGTGTGTGTGTGTGTGTGTGTTTGTGTGTGTGTGTGTGTGTGTGTGTGTGTGTGTGTGTGTGTGTGTGTCTGTGTGTGTCTGTGTGTGGTGTGTGTTAAGGTGGAATGATTAGGCGAGCGACATTGGGCGGCGGCATCGTTATTATTGGGGCTGCTGCTGCTGCGGCATAAACACTTGATCACCCACAATGTGAATAACATTTTGCATGCCTTGCTGTTGCTGCTGCTGCTGCTGCGCAGCGGCGTTGCTGCCACTGCCGCCGCCCTCATGCTTGATGTTGACGCCCATGAGATGCGTTTGACCACCACCCCCACTTAGTGCTGATGTGTTTAAGTGTTGCTGTTGTTGTTGTTGTTGCTGCTGTTGTTGCTGCTGCTGTTGTTGCTGTTGTTGTTGTTGTTGCGGTGTTTGATGGTGTTGCTGTTGCAGTTGCTGTTGCGGCAGCACAGTGCTGGCCATAATCGTATTACTGTTCGCCGTGGGCGTGGCTATGACCCTAGGTAAGTGCGTAGCATTGCCACGAACTGGCGTCTCCGCTGCCGACGGTGTTCCCGTTGTGTCGCTGGTGTCGCCCACGGTTGTGTTATTGAGCTCAGTGCTCGTCTCGAGTGTGGTATCATTACCGGACTTACTTTTCTTCTCCTTCTTGATGCCCGGTTTGGCGAAGTGCCGCAGCTCGAGATGGCGCCGCAGATTGCGCGACTGACGTATGATGGCATAGCAAATGGGGCAAGTAGCGGGTTGTTCCGATTGAGAGCGTGATCGAGGTTCTGCGGAGATAGCAAATAAAACAAATTTAGATACACTTCTAGCCTAACGGCCTCTCCCATCAATTGGACTCACTTTCTGTCCCAGGCGGATGTTTTGTCCGTTTGGCTTTAGGCGTTGCCGTTGTGCCACCAGTGCCAGTCGTTACGGTTGCTCCAGACGCTGTCGTTATTTCACCAGTTGCCGCATTGGCCGACGTCACGGGTATCATATTGTTGGGGTCCATGGTAACAATAGTCTCAACCTTTTGTCCTTCGCTCTTGATGATCGGAGTGCTAGTCAACAATTGCGTTTCCGCGCCATTTTCATCCAGGACTTGCTGTTGCTGAACTACTTGCTGCTGTCCGGTCAAGTGAGATGTTGTCGGCGTGTCCATGATCGTTCCCATTCCTTCAATTTTGGTTATTTTCGGTGCAGTTGCTGTGGGACATAAGGAGATCTTTCAATATTAAAGAGATCTATGGGAAATATAAACCTTAGATGCTTACGTGACATTTTCTTGACACGCGGCTTACGCTTGCGTGCGGGCAAGAAGCTCTGTATTACGGCCTGGTCGTGCTTGGAAGTGTCGGCTGTCACAATCGTCTGCTGGTGTCCGGCGGCATTGGTCTGAGTGGTCGCTTGCAATATCTGGCCCTGGTGATGAATGTCCTCGACAACCTGTGCGTGCACAGTTTGCTGCGGCGCCGTGGCAATCGTTGCTATCAATTGGTCCTGGTCGTGGTGCTGTGGTATCATATGTTGCAGTTGTATCGAGTGCGTGGTGTAGTCATCCTTGGTCACGGTCTGCGGTGCGAGCCCCTGAATGTTGAGGCACTGCGCCGCCTGCAGCAGCGACGGCAGCTGCCCATGATCGACGCTCACCTCGCCCCGATAGACGAACTCCAGCAAAGCCTCCAAATCGTTGGCGTTGACGCCAGCCAACATCACCACTGGATGTTTGCATGGCGTGTTCTATAAAGATAAGAGTAAATTAATGATATCAATTTTTTTTTTTTTTTTTTAATCATACACATTTTTGATATTTGAAAAAATACTCATAAGAATTTAATGATACATATTATATGAATATAAATAAATTAAATCACAATAATTAAAT